GTGGTATACTCAAATGTAAACTAGAGCCGCAAACGCGAATCATAACGGTTCATTGGGAGCTCCAGTTTGTCATAGGATGAACCATTTATATGGTAACTAATTGACCCATTCTAGTTAATAATAATAATAATAATAGCTCGAAAAAAAATAAATTCTCTATCACAAGTTGTCTGAAAACACCTCTGAGGCCAAGTCACATACTCACCTCATAATGGACTGTCGATCAAGTCCAGATACTTAAGCTCTATTAGCTTAATCCTAGTACCCAAACACCAACCATAAGTCAATAAGCTTTCAACAGCTTTTCATTCGGTGTCAAAGGTCGATGGCAATTTCCAGCTTAGGGGTTGCTAATGGACTAGCGCCATCTATGGCCTGATAGTGTACGCTGAGCAAGCGAAACGCCACCTAGCGTCGGTAGGTCCAACTAGGCATTATTATCAAATAGATTAGCTAAAAAAAAAATCATGTGTCCATAAACCAATTTTACAACCAATCTCTATATATTTATAGGCGACGGCGGTCTAAAGAGCTGTTGAAATAATACATACAACATATTTATTAATTCGTATACAAATTATCTTACATTGGAACTATTAAAAATTGAAAATCCGGATATGATTTTTGTGTAAATGTGAAAAGAGACATGATAGCAAATATTTAATATGTACAGCTGTGAAAAATAAAATAACACCGCTTGGATTTTTTTCGCCTTTTTTGAGAATTTTTTGAAATGTATAAAAACGTTGAATATTGTATTTTTATTTGTTGCAAAAAATTTATTGCGTTCTGATTATATAAAAAAAAAAAGTAGAGCAATACATTGATAACTTTGCATTTGCAAGCGGTACTATTTTATTTTTCACAGCTGTATATCTAATCCTACTGAGACTTTAAGCAAATATTTTTTCGGGTCTTCGACAATTTTCAGATTTTAAACGGAAAAATCACAGTGATTAAAATTTGTTGTTAATAAATTTGAGGTTCAGTTTTTGGCACTTCTACTAATATCTATTAGCAAAAAAAAAAAAAAAAATACGGACTATGAACACTACAACTTAATAACTTTATTTCCACGTCATTCCTTCCCATCACAACTGGAAATCGAGTGGAATTATTCTACACAGCTCAAACAGAGTTTAGACTTTTTTTAAACAAAGCCCCCTCTTAACTTCATCCCATCCTTGCCCATTCATTAAATATAAACAAATAAAAATCAAAAACAATTGCAAATTTGGACAATATCGATAAATTTGACATTCTCAGCATTTATTTGCACTCTACTCGATAACATGTTTTTGTTTTTTAATTTGTTCAGTTTTGCTTTTATGTAATGTAGATGTTAATGCTATTCATATACATATATACATATCTATACACATACATATCTGTATATTCTTATATATATATATATATATGTACGTACCGTATCGTGTATCCAAATACACTTTCCACACTTCAATCATCGAAACTGCAAATCAGTCCAAAAACAACAAACTCTTGCTTCAACTTTTGCTTTTGTTTTTATTCATTATTCATTATTCATTAATCATTTTATGTTATAATAAGTATGACTATTATTAGTTGTACCCAGCGACAAACAAAAGTCGAAAAGTTATTATTCAATGTGTTTTTTTTTTTTTTTTTTTTTTTTTGTTGCATTTTGTTGTTGCTCTTCGAAAAAGTAGAAAAATATTGCTCTAAAAAATACAGGGCAACTCTTTTCGCTCATCGAGAATATATTAATATGTATATATATATGCATATGCTTATGTATATGTATATACTTTTGATACTTATATTTCATAGTTGTTTGAGTGTTTTTTTTTTTTTATTGGTACAGGCTTAGACATAAAAAACAGGCGCTAGTTGAAACCTTGGAGGGCAACAGATTTACAATTGTTATGGCACACACACACATACATGCACGCACATGTGTGTGTGTGTGTATATATGTAATATATAGATATCGTATTCTTTGCATATATATATATATAGTATGTATTATACGGTTTCTCTGATCTACATAGTTAATAGTGGGACAGGCAGGCGTTCAGGCAGGGAAATTTGTGTCTGTGTGTGGGAATGTGTCTCTATGTGTGTGTGTTTCCCTGTTCAGACTTCAGGCCTTGTTTGCCAATATAATTATTGTAAGACATATGTTTTTGTTTGCTTTCATTTTATTTTGGTTGTTGGTTATTTGATACCCTGTAACTGTGTTTGGTTTGAGTGTGTCGCATCGTCTTGTCGAGGCATAACAGCAACTAACGTGAGCTTTAAGCTTAACACTTTAACAAAAATAACGGCTCTTTAAGCACCGACTAAAGCTTCAGCAAACTATACAAAACTCCATACACTACACGATTATATATATGTATATGTATAATATATATATTTCTGAAAGCTGATATATCCTATAGAATAAAACAATAAAAATTATAGACAGCATATGGAACATGGAAAACCGGGAAACATCTGATATTTTAGAGGCACTTTCAAGTATTTCATTTTAACATTGGGCAACTACAAAATCAATCGAGTACAACAATTCTTCAAAATGATATTTATATACATATATATATATCATATCTATATAAATATTAAATATAAATATTATTGCATTTGGCTTTATATCGAACTTCAAACGGCGCAGAAGTTCTCTCTAACACAATATTGGATATTCTAACTATAGATAAAGCTAAACCCAAAGGAAACCAAAAGAAAATATATGTATATGTATAAAAGAAAACATACGAGTTGAAATGAAATCACATATTGTGTGTATTTGGTACGCAAACAAATCATAATCATAATCATATTGATAACCATAATCATAATCATTAATATTTATATATATCTTTAATAATAATCATAGTATGATAATTTTCTTTAATATTCTTAAATTTTGTAATAGCGAAAAAAAAAACATTAACAAACTGTTTACTGATCAATTTAAACGATGATATTTCATATTAGTTCGTACGTCATTATATATAATAGGTAATTTTATACATATGTATATATATATGTATGTATGTATATGTAAGAGGTAATAGAGGGGAGGTGTGTGTGAGTGTGTTAGTGTGTGTAGGTCTAGGGTATAGGAAGTGGGACATTTTATAAGACAAGTCTCTTGCTTTTGCTCAGTTACAAAGTTTAATGTATATTGACTATAACAATAATCAAATATATATATGCATATGCATATGCATAAATATACTTGTGTGTATGTGGGTGTGTGTGTGTGTGTGTGTGTCTGCATTCTATATATAGAACTTTGTAATAGCTTTGCAGCGACAACTCGAGTCGAGGCGATTGTCTGCGTGCATTCTCTTTGCAATTCTGCAAATACAAAATATATACATATATACACATATATATGCGCATACATACATATGTATATACATACATATAAACAAAATTGTTCAATTTAAATTGAGATTTAACTGGCAATAAGTGTTTCACATTTCTGTTGCTTGTTCTCAATTATTTAATTTAAATTTATATCTTATATCTTTTTGCTAGAAAGGTACTTGAAGTGTAGACACTCAGATGGAGCGGGGGCAGGGGCTAGGGGCTAGGGGCTAGGGGCTAGGGGCTAGGGGCGGTAGTTACGGGGCGTGACTTTAACTATATATAGTGTGTGTGTAAATAAATTGCAGCGTAACTCGCAAAGCGTTTCGTATTTACATTTCAATTTAACTAAAGTTTCTCTCTTTCTATCTCTCTCTTTCTCTCTCTCTCTTTCTCTCTCTCTTTCTCTCTCTCTTTCTCTCTCTCTCTTTCTCTCTCTCTCTCTTTCTCTTTCTCTTTCTCTCTCTCTCTTTAGCATTCGCCGTCAACCATCAACGTTTAACAATTTTTTTTTTTTTTTTTTTTTTTTTGTGAGTTGACAAAGGACAAAAATTAAACGTATTTAAAAATTAAGAACAAATTTACAGTAAAATAAAATTAAGAAAAAAAAACCTCAAATCCGATAAACAAAAAAAAAAACTGTTAACAAGATTTGCATAAATTTGTAACTACAATATAGTTTAATGCCTAAAAACTAATTGTTGTTTTGTTTTTATTTGTTGTTGTTGTTTCGTTTTATATTGTTTTCTCGCTTACGGTACTAAAAGTATCTTTGATTTAACATTTACTTGAGTGTCGCATGTTGTGTTATTGTTTTGTTTCTTTCTTACACGTATATATGTATATATATATAAATATATGTACATATACATTTAGGGTATGCGGATTGCTATGCTACGCTTTATTGGCCCGTGTTTTGTTAATTGTTTGCTTTTGTTTTTGTTTTTGGTTGATTTTGTTAGCACTTAAGTTAATCAAGTATAACATATGATAATTGTAATAATAGTAATATAATAATAATTGTTGTAATCATAATAGTTATCATAATAATAATAATATTAATAATATATATTGTAAGTAGTATATAACATGTAGCGATATTTAAACAATTAAATTTTTGTTGTTTTGTTTCTCTTTTATCTCTCTTCTAAGGACTCAATTATAAGGCGCTAAATGTTGTTGTTGTTGTTATTTTTGTTGTTTTGTTTTGTTGTATAGTACTAAACATATATAAATATGCATGTGTATATATAGTTGTGTGTGTATATATATATAAATATGTGTGTGTTACATATATGTTGTTGTTGTTGTTGTTGCTGCTGCTGTTATTGTTTTACTCACACAGCAAGCAAACAAATAAAAAGTACTTTGATAACGCAATTATTTGCTATTTTTTCTTCTTTATGTTTTTCAGCTTTTTTTTTACAAATATTCATTTTGTGTTGTTTTCAATTTTTTTTTTTCAGTTTTTCTCTTTGCCTTGCGCTTGTCTTGTTAAGTTTCTTGTACACGTGTAAACAATTACATTTAAAAACAATCGTGCCCAGCTAGCACCTTAGGACATTTCATTTTGTGTTTTAGTTTTTGTATTGTTGTTGTTTCTCCAGTTAGTCGAGTTAAAAATGGTTGTTAAAAAAGTTTCATAAAATTTATATAGATATATAATATAGCTATATATATGTCTGTATATATGCACAAGTCGTAAATTAAAAGCTAACAAAGAAAATTGCAACTATTAAAATATTATATAATGGCCAACAATCAAGTCGAATATAATAAAAAAAAAAAAAAAAAATTAACATCTAAAATTAAGCTACTAAAAACAAGGGATTTTGCTTTTAAAAAAATAATAAAAATTATATTAAATAATACACAAATGTGTATATGTGTGTATTAATAATCAAGAAAAAATGTCTCATCAATAACAAAAAAAAATATATATAATAATAATAAAAATAATAATAATAAACACAGAGAATGGGTAAATATTATAGTTTAAATTGGATTGGAACCATGAAAATATTTGACTAAATGCTACGCATTGTACAGAAATCGCTTTAGAAAGAGACAACAAATGGTGCGAGCAGCATGGTGAGGGTACTTTGTGTGTTTGTGTTTGTGTGTGTGTGTGGTATTTGTGTGCCAGTTCAGCAGACAGAGAGAGAGAACAGAGCTATATATATATGTGCATATACATAGATGCCCCTAGTGTCTGCCGCCAGCTTTGCGCCATATTCACCGCATCCAGTTGGACTTTCGCTTGCTCTTGGTGCGCACACCACGCAACGGCTTGGCTTTGCTCTTGGCTGGCACGGTGTTGACCATGGCGGCGCTTATCGATAGCATCGATGGCCCATTCCCAGGCGCAGCACCTCCGCCGCTCCAATACAAATTGGAGGACGCATTGCTGCCCGTCACCACGTTTGCACTGTACAGCTCATCGTAAAGGGGCCGCTGCTGCTGCTGCTGCTGCTGTAGTTGCTGCTGTTGTTGTTGTTGCTGCTGTTGCTGCTGCTGCTGCTGCTGTTGTTGAGCAAGTGCGCCGGCAGCAGCCACATTGGCCGCAGCGCTGCTAAGCAATGCCATTTTGCTGCCGCTGCCATTCGTGTAGACGGCATTGGTATGCGGCTGCTGCTGCTGATGATGATATTGCAGGTCGAGATGCTGCCATTTCTCCTCCTCGATGCTGCGGCTGGAGGCACGTTTGTGCGGCGAGCCGTGGCTGCTGCCGCTGCTGCCGTTGCTGTGATAGTGGCTTGTGGTCGTCGACGAGCCGCATTCCACTATCGAAGAGCGCGACAGCGAGAGCAGAGCGTCCACGCCGTCACGATGACGCTGCTGATCGGCCAGCTCCTCGGGCGTGATATTATGACTGAGCACAGATAATGCAGAAGGAAAGAATCGTTAAGCTTATATTTATATAGCAAATGCCAATCGACTCTTACTTCTCCTCGCTGCTGTCGTAGGCCGCATCAGAGCTGGCGCAATTGCTGTCGCCGCCATGGCCAACACTCGGCTGCGTCTGCTGTGCATTTGGGCCATTGCCAGTGCCATTGATCAAGGGCGTGGAAGCGCCGCTATCCGCATTGCTGTTGCCGCCCGCCGAATAGGTGTGATCCTCGCTGGGAGAACTAGTTATCACTGGAGCGCTACAAGACCGGAGGAGAGAGTAGAGAAATCCTCTGATTAGATGCAGCTCTTGTGATTCCTTAATCAAACTCGTCTTACCCGTTCTGAAAGCTTTCGAGAAAGGCCTTCGAGCCGTGCTTAAGGAACAGCATCGCCGCTGCTGCATGGACATCATCGATGCTATCGGCGCCGCAATCCCGTGCCAGCCGCTCGAAGTTTAAGGCACAAACGGTACCAGCTCCAGCTGCAGCTCCAGCTCCAGGTCCAGCCGTTGCTGCCACTGTCACATTACCAGTTCCATTCGCATAGTTGTACTTGTTGTTGTTGTTGTTGTTATTATTATTGTTGTTGTTGTTGTTGCTGCTGCTATTGGACACATAGTCGCCCGGTAGCTCCTCTTCCACAGCATCGGCCGGCATATACTGCGGCTCCTCGATATTGCGAAATGCCTTGGACAGATTGGGAAAGAGTTTCGGATCGAAGCGAGGATGATTGCCGCCGCCCGTTGTAGTAGGCGTCCCAGCCGCGCCCCCATTCGACGTGACAGCATGGCCGACAATGCCGTTCTTGGCGGGCGTAGCAGACGCCGCTGGTCCACTCGCAGTGCCATCCAAGCTATCGTAGTTAGCAATGCTGCCAGCGCCATTGCCAGCGCCGTTACCATTACCGTTACCGTTACCGTTGCCATTGCCAATGCCAGCATTGCCCGCATTGGGACTCTTGAGCATTGGACTTATCTTGTCGACGGCCGAGTTGGGGAAGTAGGGCGAACGATTGAGCGCCTGCATGAGATTTGGTCGCTGCTGGGGCTCGACGCGCCACAGCGAGCCCTTGCCCATATTGGGCGCCTTCTCCACCTTGACGAAACTCTTGTTCAGCGAGAGATTGTGACGGACGCTGTTCTTCCAGCCATTCGGCGCTGACTTGAAGTAGGGAAAATGCTGCACGATCCACGCATAAATCTCTTTAACGGGCAGAGCTTTCTCATTCGAGTCCTCAATGGCCATAAAGATCAAGGAACTGCAAGAGGTATATCAAAGATATTATAAGCCAAACTAAATACTCTTAATCAACGATTTATATCGATTTAATATCAATGCAGAAAACCATCTAACAATGCCCTTCACTTGATGAACTTGTTCAATTGAACAACTTTCAGACTGCCAAACTTACCTAAAACTATATGGCGGCTTATTGTTGGTATGCACGTACGGATCATATGGCACGTTGTTGGGATGCTTTTGTTTTTGGGGTGTGTTGCTGTTGCTATTGTTGTTGTTGTTGTTGTTGTTGCCAGGACCAGAGCTGCCATATGCGGATGAAGTGTTGTTGTTGTTGTTGCTATTGTTATTGTTATTATTATTGTTATTTTTGGACATTGATTGATATTGGGGCGTGCTCGTGTGGATGCGCGCCCCGCTGCCCAGGCTGATGTCGAACTCCTTGAGCGAGTCCTCGTTCTCGTAGCTGGCATAGCTGTTGGGGCTGCGCAGATTGGCAATGCCGGAAGCGGAACCAGCCGAAACGGAACCGGAACCGGGCCCGGAACCAGAACCATTGTGCACCGCCGTCGGCGTCATCGATGGCGGCGGTGGCGTCACCGACAACTGCAACACACCCGTGCGCGGCTGCACCGCACTGTAGTAGGTGCCAGGTGGCAACAGAGCCGCACCTGGCGGCGTCTCCGGTGAGGAAATATTGGCGGGTTGTTGTGAGCTGCATGAAAAGAGCAAGGCAAGAGTTCCATAATCATAATATACCAATTATAATGTAAATTATATACAAATATTTTATGAGAGAGAGAGAGAGAGAGAGAGAGAGAGAGAGGGAGAGAGGGAGAAAGAGAAGGGAAAGGAGAAAGCAAGGGTTAGTGAACGGGAATGCCTCATCATCTATTCAGCCTAATTTCCAACTGTTTGCAACTCTTTTAGAATGTAAGCAAGTGAGTAATCGAAAGAAAAGCCTTTCTCTTCGCTCCTTTCTCTTCTCTTTGAATGAGACACGGTCTGAACTGAAGATGCGAATTGGGAAGCAAGTAAAAGTGTCTAACCGTTACTGAAGCAGTGAGGGAGACAGAAGACCATTCTTATGAAATAACCCATCAAATAGAATTTGAAATGAGCTGCAGGTCTCTCTACTTAAATATCTCCTTATATTTCTGCTTCTATATGGCGATATTTGTAGCTTCCATCTCTCTTCTCCCTCATATTTACTTCCCTCTCTATCTATGTCCCTCTCACTCTCCCTATCACTACATATATACATTCTTCTCTCTATATATCTCCCTCTCTATCTATCTTTCTGCCTTTCTCTGGCTCTATCTCCGTCGCTTTCCATCACCCTCTGTCTCTCTATCGGCGTCCCTCCCTATTTATCTCTCTCTCACTATATCTTTCTATCTCTCTCTCTATCTTCCCTACTGTCTATCCCTCTCTGTGTATCTCTCTCTCTCTCTCTCTCTCTGTTCTATCTTCCTCTCTATCTCACTCTCTATTTCACTCTATAGCTCCCTCTCCATCTCCATCTCTCTTTTCACCTGTATAGCCCACTATCTGTCGTTCTCTCTACATCTATGTCTCTATCTCTGCCTCTGTCTCCTCCACCACTCTCTCTCCGCCTCCTTCTCTATACATACATCTCTCTTTCTCTCTCTCTCTCTCTCTCACCAAGCGCTTATTGACATCTATCACTTACATAACATGTGGAGCGGTAACAAAACTGTAGCCGGGCGGCAACTTTGTGGTGCTAACCACCGTTGGTGGTGTTGTGTGTTGTTGTTGTTGTTCGCTGGTGTTGTTGCTATTGCTGGTGCTGTTGTTGGTGACGGTGGCTGTGGCGGTGGTGGTGGTGTTACTGTTGTTGTTGTTGTTGTTGTGGCTGCTGCTGTTGCTGCTGCTGCTATTGGGCGCTGAGTAGTTGACGGCATCGAATACTGCATTGAAGCTGTTCGACTTCGGCACTGGACTGTTGCCCCCATTGACGGCCGCCGTCGAGGAGCCCGAGGCGGAGCATGAGCTGAGCGTCGAGTTGTTTGAGGAGGCGGGCGAGCTGACCACCGTGACCGTTGAAGCCACCACATGGCTGATATTGTTGTTGCTGACGACGGTGGTGCTAGTGGTGATGTTGCTGTTGTTGTTACTGTTGCTATTGTTATTGTTGTTGTTGTTGTTGTTGCTGTTGTGATCCACATGCACATTCATCTTCTCACGCAGATATTTCTTGTGCGGATGATGCGTTGTGGTGTTGCCGCTGGACTTGTAGCTAGCCGTTGGAGTCGTGCCATTGCTGCTAACAAAGATCTGCGGCTGCTGCTGCTTGACAGCGGCAACTGTTGCTGCCGGCATGAAGCTGTTGCCAGCAACACGCGGCATGAAGGCAGCTGTGACTGTTGCTCCCGCTGCTGTAGCATTCGGTTTGCTGCTGGCCGCTTTGTACTCCACCACGGTGGTGGTGCCGCTGGGTCCCTTGTGCACCGTTGTGGTGCTGTAGACGGCGGGTGGTGACTGCGATTCGATGGCATCGCTATGCGACAGCTCCTCGATTATGTCGTTCACTAGGCAAATGTTGTAAGGTTCGGCGGTGGCAGCTGTTGCACCACCACCTCCGACTCCGCCTCCGCCTCCTCCTCCTGCTGTTGTTGTTGTGGTCGCTGTTGCTGTTGTTGTTGGCGACGATTTCAGCGCCACGGCAGCAACACTGCGTTTCACTGCCGTTGTTGCTGCTGCTGTTGTTGTTGCCGGTGTGGTCCCAATACCTTTGATCAGATTGCTCTCATTCAGCCAGGACAAAGGACGCAGCTCATCATCATCGGCCGGCGCACCGGCTGCGCCCAAAGCATCCGCCGCACTCAGCTCCAACGGCTCCGTGGCCAGCACCACAATATTGCCGGCAGCAACTGCTGCTGCTGCTGCTGCCGCCGCTGACGCCGACGCTGACGCATTGCCCGCCTGCGTGGCATTCTCGTAGGCGGTAAAGCTGCCGCCATTGTGCCGCAGCAGCAGGTACTTTGAGTTCGAATTCATGTGGGCGTGACCGTGCGTGTGACTATGGCTATGGCTGTGGGCGTGTCCGTGTCCGTGTCCGTGTCCCACACCCAGTCCCAATCCAAGTCCCAGCCCGTGCCCGTGTCCGTGTCCGTGTCCGTTTGTTGGCGGCGCTGCGGCCGCTGTGCCTGCCACGCTGTGGTATCCGTGTGCAGCAGCTGCTGCTGCTGCCACCACGGCGCTGGTTGCTGCCGCCGTCTGTAGTTGGCCTCGCAAGTGGCTCAAATCGTGCGTCGTTAGCAGCTGTGTGGGATTATCTGTTGACATGCTGCCGGAGAAAAGAGATCCGAAAGGGACTTGATTAGATTTCATGTGAACACAGTTAAATCTTTAACTAAAGCTAAAACCGACATATAACTATAGTTACAATATCATTATATACACAATATAATGATAGTAAATGTATTAAAAATATACATAATGCATATATATTACATATATTTATCTTTAATTATTATGATGTGATATAGAGAGAATTTATATATAGATTTCATTGAGTATGATATCTCATATATACATACATATATATACGTATATAACGCTTTTTCTTTTCATTTTCTTTCGTAAAATATGCCATCATCATCATATCACACCTTGTACCTATGCATATTATATCGCTAAATATAAGATCGTTTAATACGCTGATATAAGAAACTATAGTAGTGCGATTGATTGTATAAAAAATGCATTTACCTAATTATTAAATATCGACACATAATAATAATTAATTTATTAATAATTAATATTAGGTTTTGTTCCAAATTGTTCATACCTACGTTTTTTTCGTCCAACAGTAACACTATTACTACTATTTTATTTTATCCCAGGCGCACTTCCTTATAAACTCCATATCAACATCTACATAATTAACAATATATGATAATCTAATATAATATTAAGTTTATCATCTAGTTTTTTTTTCCACTAATATATGCTTCGTCGCATTACTATTTCTCTGTCACACCTCATATCTTTATGTGTGTGTGTGTATATCAGCATACACACATACATAGATAGCAATCAACACTGTCAATCTGCAGTGGCCAGACTTGAATGCATCTAAACAACAATTTAAAGCCGAAAACTTGAACTGCTAATCAAGTGTTATTTTCCAATTAATGCTGGCGTATCAAATCAGTTAATCAAATAGGTACATGCTTTAGTTTTGTGCTTCTTCTTCGTCATTTTTGTTTATTATTTTTATTTCATCGGCGTCCATCAGTTTGTTTTTATTGCATACCGCAATGGGCAATGTGCCCACTGTGCTCCGCTAATAATAAGTAATATTACCGCAAGTATCACACACACATTATCGCTCCCTCTCTCTTTCTCTCTCTCTCTCACACACACACACACATACACACCCGCTTTGCGGTGCCTCTCTCCTTTGCGTGTTTTGAACAGTGGCCACATTTTTAAGTTAAATGCTAAACGCTTTACGCAATCATCACCAGCCGCCCGGGCCGCCATTTTGCGTATGTATTTGTGCATGTGTGTGTGTATTTTGTTTGTATTTGTTTCTATTTGTGCGTTGCTTTTTGCATTATTTTTATTTTCCAACAGCACTTTTTTATTGCTTCTAATTTACGCGTGTAGTTTTCGCCGTTTTTATGGCTTGATGAGTGGCTGCGACGCGACGCGACGTCGGCAGCGCAGCTTGCGTTCACCTGCTACTTGAAACTGTATTTATATTATTTCATTTTATTTTTCGTGTTTCGGTTTTTTTGTTGCGCGCGTCGCTTTGTGCTCGTGTGCGTGTTGTTGTTGTGGTTGCTGTTATTTACGCTCTTCATCTACTCTCTCATTGGATGTCTGCGTGTGTTTACTGTTGAATTATCTTATCAGCATTTCGCATTAAACTTATAGCCATAACAGTAATTTCTGTTGTTCCAACTGCGAGCGAGTGAGCGAGGCAATATCAAAGGATATTGAATTAATGACTAATTCATAATTTTGGTATTTCAATGAAATGCGGTACAGTTAAGCACACAGGCAAGTGTATCTATGTATGCACTCGCAACGCTTGGAGCAGATTAATTAAATAAATAGCAACACATGTGTGTGCATTGCGATGCCCATAAGGGACAGCACTGTAAGTGTATTATTTATTGATTTTTATTGGGCACCAACAACAATTTACTGTGACAACAACAACAAAAGAACAGTGAAACGAGCGCGCCACAACAAAGACGGCGAGTCAAAACAAACGATACGCGAAACGGACAGCAATGCAAAAGCAAAAGCTCAACAACAACAAAGACGACGATGACGACGACGACGACGACAACAACAGTCTAAGCGCCACAGACAATAGTCGCTCTTTACAGTCGCATGCCAAAATAATGGACGCACATAGCGGAGCAGCTCTTTACAGCTGTTGTTCTTGCTATTGTTGTTGTAATTCGTGCTGCTGGAAGTCTGTTCGCTGCGAAAACACAAACAAACTAGAAAATAAAGCTTGCGACGCAATTTTGAAAGTTTCCGTCCGTTGTCTTGGCAACTTATTATAAACAAAATACAGCAACAACGTTAATTTGCACAGTAGCGTCGCGCGAGAGAGAAGCGCTACGTCGCGACGCCGATGTCAGCGTTTGGGCAAACGACAACGTGGTTTTGGTTACGCTGGCTCTCCCTCTATCAATGTTTGAGTGTGTTGGTGTGTGTTTATGTGTGTTTACCAAATTAGCTAAAAGAAGACACATACATATATACACTAACATTATACGCTTTTTATAATATTGCAATTTGTACACAAACACGCACATATATACATATACACACATATTGCAAGCTCAAATTAAGCCGCAGCTGTGACGTGTGCCAAAAACATAAAGAAACGGCAGCTCTTTGTTAGCCACTCTTTAACTCTCTCTCTCTCTCTCTGCCTCTCAGGCTCTCAGGCTCTCTGTTTATCTGCTTTTGCATTGTGTTTTTGTTTATTTTTCAAGCTCAAGCTAAACGGCGCAGTTTTTCAAGCTCAGCTCGTTGAAATACAAGAGAGTGCGTATGAAAGAGCGCCGCAATGAAATGAACGAAGAGCGGCGTCATTTTGAGCCGTTGTAGAAGTAGCTTTTGCGCTTTGCTGCCGACGCCGTAGCCGCGCGTCAGTTGTCAGTTTTTCGTTCTAGAAACGTCAACTGCTGCTGCTGCTACTGCTGCTGCAGCGCTGCCTGCCGGTTGTTTGCTTTCTGTTGTGACCTATGGACCTCTCTATGCTGCTTTTATTGCAGCTGCTGCGCTGTTGTTGGTGTTTCTATTATTATTTAGTTCTTCTTGTTATTATTATTACTGTTAATGGGAAGAAGCAGCAGCAGCACCACCATAAAAGTGTAAAATACGATTGGTTAAACTGTACCTACTGCTGCTGCTGTTGCTTATAAAACGCGCTTTATATTTGTGCAGATGATTCATACACATAAATATATTCGTTTACATTTATTGTATTTATAAATAAGAACTTTAACCGCATGCTAATCACAGAGAGACCACAAACACTATTAAGTACCGTTGTTTGCTTTAAGGGATAAGCGTAAATGAACTGCTTCCTCTTTAAATATTCCACATTAAATCGAAAGAGTGAAAAAATAAAAATTAAAAAAACGTGAGACAACCAGCCGAAGGGGTGGGTACGGTTGCCGTCGTCGGCTACGGGTTTATCACAATGACAAGCACATATTAATGAATAATAATAATAATAATAATAACAAAAGAGGAAGATGCGGAAGAGGGAGAATTAAGATGAGGAACAGTAGGACGTGAGAACAGGCGCAACTTGCTGCTTTGTTGTTGCGTCCGTTCATCTATTGCCATTTCGATCGCTCTCTATATAAATAATAACAAATAGCAAAACAGTTCACGTAATCAATTCAAAGAGAGCGAAATGAAGAGACGGAGCGCGCACGCTAGGCGCAGAGTGAGCTTTACATATTTCCGGCAGCGCCGCCAACGACGCCGCCAACAACAAAAACAACATTTTCAACAACAACAGCTGGCCAAGCATTTTTTGAGAGCTTTTAATGGCGTCCAACGACATACGCTCTCGCTCTCCCATTCCCAAACAGTTGTACTGTACTTGTCTACGTGTGTGTGCATGTGTGTGTGTGAGTATGAGTGTGTGCGTACGTGTTGGTGAAATATAAACAAAAATGATCGAAATTAAATGAATAAAAGAGGACAACTAATAGAATATGGTTAATTTCAAGAAAATTAAACACATTTATAAAATGCATACCTATTTTATTAATAATAATATTAAAAAGTTATTATTATTATTATTTTTTTTTGTTCTTTTTTTTGTATATACACTTTTAATAAGGTATTTATCTAGCCTAATTGTTTTTACTTTTTACTCACACACACATACACACGTGTACATATAGTTTAGAATTTTCTCGAGCTTTAGCTAAAGTAGACAACAAACAACGAAAAATTGTCGGCGACCACGCGGCGTATACGTAACCCCCCATTCGAACAGCTCGCTTTATATGTGTGTATGCATGTGTGTGTGTTGCGAGTATATGCACACACATTCATGCATAGACATGTGCCTATGTATGTGTGACTGTGTGATGCCTTCAAGTTGGGTCGCACAATTGTATATTACGTATACGCTACATATGCAGGAACGCAGGCAGTTTTGGCAGCCATAAGAAATATAAAAACATATATAAACACACACACACAGTCACACTCACACACATACGTCGCTTACAACTAATAAATCAATGCCAGATATATAATAAAGAATAAAGAAAAATCTGCAAAATTATTAAGAAAACTAAAAGGGTAGCAAAATAAAATCAATTAAAAGAATAAAAAAATTAAAACTTTAATATTGAATAAATAAATAAGTAGTCAAAGAGAGGCAGCGACACATCGAGACGACAAGGCCGCTTTGAATGTACTCTTCTTCTTCTTCTTCTTCTTCTCTTAGATGACTGTCTGTGCTTTTTGTATGTCTGTGTGTGTGTGCGCGCGAGAGAGACTGTTATTGTTTTCATCAGTTGTTGCTAAACAAAAATGCAGAAAAATTATTACTCATATTTGTTCTTTTTTTACATGAATTAAACTTGTATTTTTTACTTTAAATTCATATACAAAGTCAAAAAAAAAAAAAAAAAAAAAACAAAAACAAAACAAACTGAAATGCTCTGGTGCTCAGCTCACTGCGCTCTTTCAGTGCGAGCTTTCACTCTCCCACATACGCACACAGCGACAACGAAGGTGGCAGCACTGCTCACTCTATACCTCCCTCCCACTCTCCCTTCC